TTGTGACTTAGAAATTATGTAATCACTTAATCACAATCAAAAAAAAAAAAAGAACTTCGGGGAAGGGAGGGAGGGAGGGAGGGGATGGTAGGGGGAAAACAATGGAGGGGCTAACAATGTTCAAGAGGAAGTGTACTCATTACCTCACTCATGTAACTGTAACCCTCTGTATAGTATCTTTACAATAAAAAAAAATCAAGCTGCCTTAAATTTTATGTATATAGTTTTGTTTTCTTGCAAGATTACAGTTTAAAGGCTTAATTAAAAGTTTTAATTAGGGCTCCAACTTAAAAGCATGACACAAATAGTTACTGGGGATTTTGAACACTCCAATGTGTTTAAAGGCTGATTTCTCTGGTAAATTCTATCTTTACTCTCATTTACTTTTATCGGCTGGAAGATTCTACAGAAAGAAGAGTTCACCTGATGTTTTAAGTATCCACCTTTGAATCCCCTTCACAAACTTAGACTGACCAGTCACTTGATTAATCATAAACCTAGTTTATCGGGCTCCTCCAGAAGCGGAGAGGCTAGATTTTACCTAGAGCTCTTCTGTGACTGATCAGAATTCCTGGTTGTTAGAAACCCCAAAGCTATCTGCAGCTTATAGTGACACTTTCTTGCCTACTGCCAAACCACATTTAGTTGGTTAGAATTCAGAAAATCTGATGAAAAAAAGAAACCATTGTCAATGCTAAAACATACTCAGCTCATTTGGGAATGTAGTGGGTAGAAGGAGGGGTGAGGTAGGAAGAGTGGGTAGAAAGAGGGGCTGCTGGAAGAAGCTGTAGTCATACGTATTATTTCCCAATTAAAAAATCCTTAATTTTATTTAATTTTTACTTGCTAATTTGGAAGGAACTTCAGAGGTCATGATCCTGAATCTCAACTATAGTTATACCAAGTGTTAGAAATTTAGGGTTAGAGAGAAAGTAGGGTAAGAGTTCATTAACTCTTGATAATGGACTATCAAGGCAAAATGAACACATAAATTCAGACATTTTTCATATTTTGTCATATAATGCTTAATAGTAATGAAGTAAAAATTATGAGAAAAAGTTAGATACACATTCATCAGCTACATAGGAAAGCACCAAGTGTGGTTTTTCTATGCTTAGTCAATGTTTTGAGAAGAAGCTAGGGGTCCCAAGTGAGTTTTTATGACTATAAGCGAGTTTCTTTTCTAAAGTACATTTAAATGAGACGAAAAAATACAACAAAGAAAGAAAACCCAAACTACGCTTGTTGGTAGGTCTATACCATTTTCATACATTTAATGGAAGAAGGTAGTACACAATGTTACTGCAGCCATAAGTGATACTTAGAGGAAAATTAAATCACTGAATGATGCCAGGACTGATTATTCCACTGCACTTTAAAAGCAAGAGATTGCAGTCTGTGAATCCAAAGTAGTTTCATATGGACCGCTACAGTTGTGGTTTACTCTTGAAAGTATAACCTGTCAAATTAGAAGCAGGCAAGGCCTCTGCTTTTAACGGTTCCACTTTCTACTGTCTACAGTTGTGGCTATAGGCTATCATTTTTTTTTTTTTTATCCAGTTAAATTCTGGTTGTTTTTTTTTTTTTGAGGAGTAGAATATCAAAATGACTGTTTGTTATCTCAGGTTTTAGTCCTCATATAAGTTGAAAGAAGTTACCAATCAGGCTTGTAGATGAAGCAGACTTCTATTGTGACAATTGTTATCAACTACTAATATTCCATTATCCTGCTTACCACATATAATTACAGGAAAGTGGTATATGGGCCGTGTAAGTGCTTAAACTTATTCCACTCTGCCCTTTCAGATACTTTATTATTTTAACAAGTACCTCATTGACTCATCATTTTCTAGGCCTACTATCATGACTGTGGGCTAGTATGAGCTTAATGTTATAAAATGCTCCATTTTTTTCTCTTTTACTTAATTGTGGGATATTCCTTAGGAAACAAGTTTGTTTAGCTGAGATTTTTCCCATCAAACCAACAAGCTATCTGTTCAATTTTATGTTTCATTTAGAGTTGTTCCATAAGGCCCATGTTTTATAATATAAAAATATTAAAAATAAAGCATACACAGTATTTGTTCTCTGTGTGATACACTATAAGTGAAACCATGCCACTAAATAATCATATCCTGTTTAGGCCATAATGACATCAGAAATTTATGTTTATCATCTGCTTTGGACAACTTAGCATGTTTTTAGCTCAAGGCAATGTTGAACTAAAACCATTTGCAGTTGGCCAAACCAAGATAACCACACATTTCTAAGGTAATTGATACCTAAAAGAACACTGCCTTTAGATCACAGTTCATGATCTAAGCATTGCTAATTCTTTAAAGAAGGTTGTTAAAGTTTATAAAGCATATATGTCTATTGGACTTCCTCCAAAATTTAACATGAAATAATTACATTTTTAGCATGCATAGACACTATGATGAAGTAGGCACTTAGCAAATCGTTTCAGAATTCTGGAATTACCTCTCTTGCCCAATTTAAAGAGAAAGGGGAAATTGAATTGATTTTTTTTTTTAATCACGTAAAGATATAGTAACAGTGGTGAAAACTGTCCTGTATTTTGGATGGTGCTCAAGTGAATAAATCATTACTTTCATTTTCCTGAAGCATATTTAAAGAAACAATAATTTCATGTATAGATGGCTTTTAAGGTCAATAAAACACATACAGTTTTCAAATCTATTGTGAAAACATATCCAGGCAATCCAAATATATGTCAGTAATTGTGTTAGTGATACAAAGCATGTAATTGCCCTGAGTACCACCTTGGCTAGTGAGTCCAATCATAACCTGCAAACACTCTGAAAAATAGCTCTTTGCAAGTTATGCCAAACAAAAGTGGCAAGTAAAAGCCTTTCACACAAAGATAGCAGGATAATTTGGAACAAAAAAAAGTAAATATCTGATTATAAACTAGCTTAAACAGAATAAAATGAAACCAGAAAATGTCAGATCCTGAGGAAGGAAAACTTGTTTTCAAAGGAGAAACAGAGAGACAGAGAACTGAGGCTGTCTTCCAAAGTCAACTGTGAGAGAAATTCCCTCTCTATACAGTTTATACCAGGGGATACTACTGCTATCAGACAAAGGACTCTCTGGAGGAGCAGCAACAGCATGGTACACGATGCTGCAATGGTGATTGTGTTACTGTGAAAAAGAGGAAAGTATCATACCTCCATTCTTTCTTGTTTAACGTCATCAATTTCCTCATCTTCAAACATTGCCAAAAGTTCTCCTGTCTGGTCAATAGAAGTGAGGAAATCCTGAGCAATTTTCTGTCTTTTGTTTGTATTACTACTGCCACTCAATTTGTCTTCATGAAGATAAGGAAAGAAAAAAAGAGATGTTATCCATAGGTTTCTATCAGCACTCAACAGTGCTTGTATTAAATAATGCACAGGAAATTAAGAACTGGCATTCTTTCAAACATTTTTTTGAAAGGGGGATTCTTGCATCTAAAATACAAGTAGAGGATTTACAGAATTAAATCATTCATTCTTATTACAAACTGACAAAATAGAATCAAATAATTACCACAGTAAGGATGAAAGGGCTTACTAGAATCCTTTATAAAGAGGGAAGGCTCTTGGATTAGTGTCATCAGTGCATCATTATCAACGTACTTGGATATGCACTTAATAATTTGACAGGTTTTCAGCCACTATTTCTTTGAGCATTGTTACATTCTCTCTGGTCTTTTTTCTTGCCTTTTGATGTACACATTATGCATATACTGATATAAGTTAATGGTGTTCCATATTCCTCTGAAGCCTTGTTAATTTTTCCTTGGCCCTATAAATATATTAAATTTTCTTAAAAATCTTTTTTTTATTTACTCTATGATCTTAAAACTATGTTTAAACATTTTAAATGTTTAAATTAAATGTATTTAATTAAATGTATTTCTCCACGGAAACCTGTCAAGCTCCTTACACAGTCATTTTAGAAGTCATATTTAGGGTTAGATATGTCTCATCTGAGTATGTACCTTATGGCTTACGCCAACTAATCTATAAGAAGTTTTAGTATACTTTTTACAAGACATAAAAATTAGAACCTTTGATGAAGATAAAATATGTTTTAAAAATGTTTAAAAATGATTAAGAAGATGGCATCAAACCAACATGATGTCATTGGACAGCTAAACTGCAGTCTTAGCACTCTGAGCTTGTGTTGAAAATCAACACCTATAAACTATTCAGTGGCAGGCATGTATCAAGTGTTTTCACTAAATTATGTTGAATTCTCATAAGATTCCACATTTTAAGCAGTATAATTTCTTTCTGATATACAAGAACACTAAAATAAATAAAGACAAACAATAGCAACAACTAAAAAGAAATGAGAACACTAACTCTTTAGGTACCACGTAGAGAAAGCAGAGACCTGGGAATGATTGGAACACAGGTCTATTTTGGTCCTGTATTCTTTATGCATACCATAAGAGGAAACATTAAAATTTATCTGCAGAACTATTTTCCATGTACTAAGTTCTAGGAGAATTGCTAATATAATAGGTGACAGTGTGTAATAAATTTGTTCATACTATTTTATGTAAGGGGATTTCATGATGAATGTAACTAGTTCTCTTTCAAAGTTTATTTACTCTAGTTTTCTGAAATTCTTCTTAATCAAGTAGTTTAACTTATCAGTATACCTATTAGCAATGGATGCCATTACATAATGTCTGTTTTTAATAAAAACACATTATTTCTAAAAAGTGTATAAATTAAATAAGTTCTACACTTTAATCTGATCAATACTTTGATTTAGTAAGCATTTTTAGTACTTACATATTTGCAGCTTAGCAGTTTGATTTTGCAACATTAGTATTTTTTTCCTAAACATTCTAAAATAAAGAACTGAGTTGCTAAGTCAGAGAAGGAAAGTTTTCTACTTTGTATTATGATTTTTGTTAGATTTTTAAACAACACAGGAATAACAGACTAGAATGAAGTAACTTTATATCATTAATCATATCAGATTCTTTTTATGGTAAATTACCAAAATCTACATGAGCCAGTTTCTAAACTATATAATATTTCTGGCTCCCTTCATCCACCACAGAAAAATTCCACTTATAAAAATCAGTTATGCACTCAATCATCACAATTTTTATGGTTTCATAAAACAGTATACATTATTAACAGAAAGAATTAAAATACCAAGTTCATATGAAGTAAAAAGATTAAACTGTGTACATACATATTTATGTATATATTTGATAGTTACTTTAAATACTTTAATTTCAAACATTACTACACATTCATTCAGATATACATCGACATATACAAAAACACATATGTGTATATATGTAGATAGATAGATAGATGGATAGATAGATAGATGTGTGTATGTGTGCATTTGTATACATTGAACCTCATGTATTCTACCCCTCGAGCCATGCCTGAAGTGCTTTTGTGCGATGTGGAACTCCAGATCCTCCTACCTCTGCCTCCAAGTGGTTCTATGAGTTTATCTACATTGACACTGAAAAATTGTGTCATTTAGCATAAGTATGCCATCAGCTCTTGTTTATTCAGTGCTTTGTTTTGGTTACCTTCTAGAAGATCATCCTCATCAATGCCTTTGACAATCTTTGATTTGTAGTCTCGGATAAACATGTACTTTAAAAGTCTTCTAAGTTTTTTCTGTTAAAAATATGAAATGAGAAAATGATATACATATTTATACTGATAAGGAATATTGTGATAACTAAATTTATTAAACTCTACTTGAGCATCACTGAAATATAGAAATCACTAATACACTGAAATCAAAATGTGATCATCAAGTTAAACATAATAAAAACAAAAGTATTGTAGCTATACAAGTATTTGTAACAGCACTTTTCTCTAATCCAGACTTTCCTATATTACAATAATTACTTTATGGTATGTCTTAAGAGTTTAAAAGTATTTCAGAGTTTTTGATAAATACCACATTCCCCATACTGATTACTTATGCTGTTGAATTATGTATATAGTTTTCAGATGAAATTTTATTTAAAATGATTTATAAACATCTAGACAATGAGTTCATAACAAATACTTTTCAAAGACAAGTAATGGCTTTCCTATAGTTTTGTGAGAATATTTATATTAATCAATTAATTAGAGACTAAGTCTGACTATATAATCCAGGCTGGCTTCAAACTTGCGATCCTCCTGACTCAGCTTCCAGAAGTTTGGGATTACAGGTACACCCTATTATGCTTGGCTTCTGGGAATCTATCTTTTCACTAGAAGAGTTCATTTATATGTGCTATTTCAGGAAAACAGTCTATAATCTAGGGAACATTTTTTTGAAACTCATAGTTAACAAATGCCAGTTAGGTTTTAATAATGGCCTACTTTGCAGCTTGTTTTAGGAGAGCCCAATATGATTTTACTACAAACCTGATGGGTAACCCTCTGCAATTTGTTCTCTGCTTATACCAAGAAAGTATTGCTGCTGGTTTCTGACCTTTAGGTTTATGATTTCTCATCATAGCTGAAACATATATTGCACCTTAAAAGGCTGTGTGTGTGTGTGTGTGTGTGTGTGTATTCATTTATGCTTGGCCTGGGACTTGAACTCAGGGCCTGGTGGCTGTTCCTCAGACTCTTTGTGCTCAAGGCCAGCACTCTAGCACTAGAGCCACAGTGCAACTTCCAGCTTTTTCTGAGTAGTTTATTAAAGATAAAAATCTCATGCACTTTTCTGTCCCGGCTGGCTTTGACCGGCAATCCTCAGAACTCAGCTTCCTGAGTAGCTAGGGTTATAAGCATGAGCCACCAGTGCCTAGCTCATCTAATATTTTTGATAGACCTGAAAGAGGAAAAATGTAATCACAAGGAAACCAAGGTTAAAAAAAAAAAGTACTGGGAACTCAGCAGGGCCAGAAGTAGAACATGACCTGTGCATCTCAGTTTTCACTTGTAAAACAAGAAAAGAGCATGGGCACATGCCTGTGTGGGGATTCTGGAGAAAGCATGGGAAGCTGCTTAGTGTGGTGTACAACACAGCAGGCTGTGAGGAATGCTGGAGTACAACTACGGCTATTAAGGAAACATTCCTGCCCAAAGAACTTCTGCGACTTTGTTTTCTCTTTGCTCTGATTCCATTTGGCATTTTAATTTTATTTTGTCTGATATTTTATTTATGCAAGCCATTTTAAATTCTTTTTGGAATGGCATATAAGTAAAATTATAAGAAAATGGGTGACTATCATTTTGGTAGAGTGCTGTATCTAAATAGCTTGTGTTGTGCATTCCTAAAGTTTCCGTAGAATGAAGGTTTGGCTTCCCCAACAGGGCACGAAGAAGAGTTGGTGTGAACTATTAAATTCAATCATTTTACCTCTACTGGTGAAAAAAATTGACAAGATATTCTGCTTGTTCCCCAGCTGTCTTCTTCAGACAGCTCAAGGGCCTTCTTTTTGCCTACAGCAACAATACTCCTTCTACACCACATGCTGTGATGGAGTCCTTGAGGTCTATTGCTCTTCAAGAATGCCTCAGTATTCAATAAATGTCACCAAGTCTTGCAAACTCTTCCTCATTATGCTCTCTGAATTCACTTTTCCCGTTTCTAGAGCTACCATACTAATCATTCTTTGCCCTAATTGGTAATAGAGCATTTTGGTTAGCCTCCTTCCATTACCCATTCTACTTAGGCCTGCATGAACCTTACTGTAGTCAGAAGCTTCCACTTCAACATTCAGCCTCTACATCTAATCATAAAACCTTGAAATTCTGTCTTAAAAATGCATCTTCAGATCAGCCAGATTTACTACTGTGGATCATAAGCTTCTTGATTTAAAGCTATAAATCATGTCTTGATAGTAAAGACATTGGTTTTTCTTTTATATATCCTTTTTATCAAATAAGAGTTGATTGAAGCCAGGGGTGCTGGTAGCTCACGCCTGTAATTCTAACTACGCAGGAGACTGAGATCTGAGGATCACAGTTTGAAGCCAGCCAGGGCAGAAGAGTCCATGTGACAATAAACTACCCAGAAAAAGCTGGAAGTGGTGCTTTGGCTCAAGTGGGGTAGAGCACTAGACTTGAGTAAAAGAAAGCAAAAGAAGCTCAAGGACAGTGTGTCCAGGTCCTGAGTTCAATCAAACTCCAGGACCAGAAAAAAAAAGGTTGACTAAAACATGTAAAATAATATAAACTATTTTAACTAGTTTTTCATGGAAAATTGATGAAATTAGACACAAACACCAATTTTATATTTTAATACCAAGAGACAAGAGACTAAGAAACATACCAAAAATTAGAAATTATAGTGTCTTCATGATTTTAAATATTCATCTTGACTTCTTTCTTTTCTATAAACCAGTGTGTTACAGAGAGGAAACTTTGTAAAGTTCAATTACCATATGAAATTCTGTAATTATGTTGATGTTAAGGTTCACAATGAGCAGACAAATAAGTATATCACTGAGGCAATACACCATTTATGAGAACAAAGCATACAGTCAATATCTATTGAACACTAATTAGTAATGAAAATGTCATCAGACAAGTAGAGATTACCCAGGGTTGTTGGCAGCTTTTTATCTAAGTGCTATTTACCCAGGTAAAAACAAATATCCATTCCTTTGTAATAAACGTAGTTTATTTTGTAACTATGAACATTGAACTTTTCATCAATGATCATGATTCCAATTTGAATATGATATATCAAAAGAACATAGTTTCCTCATGTAAATTCAATTAAGCTACAAGCCTAGCACCTAACATGGTGACATTGTTTTGTTACCTTATCTTTTCGTATCAAGAACAGAAGATCTTCAGCAGAGATCACTCTTGCTCCCCTCAGTTGGGAAACTTCAGCAGCTTGCTGCAACTAACAAAGGAAAGTCAGGATATTTTTCCCAGTAATATAAATTAAACACAGTATAATCATGATTCTCAAGAGAGAGAGAAATATACTAAGAGTTAAAAACCTTGAGGAATAATCCAGTGATTACAAAATTGCTTTTAAAAGCAAAATGTCCTGTTTTGAGATATTCTAAAAAATGCAATTAAATTACCTCACAAGCCCACCTGTAACTGATATAACAAACAGATATCCTTGATTTCTCTAATGCAAAATAAAAATCATACACAGCTTCCAGAAATACATTAATGCACCTGAAAATAATTTTATGAAATTTTATCCTTCCTACCCATGTGAGCAATGGTTTCACTCAGTATCACTAGTTGAATAAGTATATTATTAATCTGAGCTCCCATGCTGGTATGATTTGAAATAGGCCCATTCAGAACTTAAAAGATCAACAAAAACAGTAGCTGTTTCTAATATCCAAAGGAAAAAAAATACTTTCAGTTTTGGCAAGTCTTCAGTGGTTAAAGGATTCAGTCCATAAATCATAATACTGGACTGCATTAATTTCTTTCCACACTAATCATATGCACACAAAAAGTTAACTGTATCTGGACTGTCCAATATAAAACATACTGCATGAAAAGTTAGATTCCCCCTGAAATGTTCATCTGGTCTTTTCTTTATCTACAGAGTTAAGAGTTTTTAGGAATTCAGAAGCCCTAGAAACACAATCTTACTTGAAAATGACCTGGAAAATAAAAAGAATGTGAAAAACGATAGTTGTATTTTTTTGGCAAAGGCAAACTCAGCTTCTTATTTTGATTAGTTGGAAGGAACATAAAATACGTCCATCTGAAAAAAATAAAGATGCTGGAGAAAAACACTACAAAAAAATGTTCCAAATTTGATCAAACCATGCTGATTGCACCAAACCAATTCTATCCAACATAAACTATTCCAAAAATATTTACATATAAAAGCTGTTCCTGAAGGCACCCTTCTTGGAAAGGAACAAATCTAACACACATTCTTGAGTTAATCTTTTAAAAGTGACATCCTGCCATCTTAACAATTATATGAAATTAAATAGCACATTTGTACTAAAGAAATTCTGCTTGAATATTTAAGCAATTTTGCAAAGTTAGCTTCAAATCTTCTTTAAATACACAGACTACAAAATAGACTATAAACCTCCCTATGTGTCAGCTTTACCACTGATTTCCTGGATACTGGTGGTTGGTATATAAACATAATTCTACCTAAATATAGAAATTTAAATTTAACTGTGGACCATTTAAAAGGAAATCTTGGGGGAAAAGTTTTTTAAAAGATGATGCATCTACTCAAAAAGAAACCTGACAGTTTTCAGCAAGCCTGAGCACATTTTTTCTAAAGTCTGAAAGTATATTAGGAAATGTACTTTTATATCCCTTTTCAATTAAAAACATTTATATCACAGTCTAAAATACATGTGATTAGTGTGGAGAAGAACCTGAGTTACTTATGCATCAGTCTAGACACACAGAGAGAATTCCGGAAACACTAAATTACTCAATTTTTTTTCTTAAATGAAGAACGGAGATAATCTGGAGGTCCCAAACCACTACATAAGGCATAAGCAATTTTTCTTATGCTGAGTAAGAACATTAGAAACAGGCATTCCTAAACACTTTTCCCAGTTAAACACTGGTTTACCCATACTACAGATAATTTCTCTTCAGATATAACACTCTACAAAATGTCAGTTCTCAAACACATTAATCAGAAAAAGAATGACAATGGAAAATACAGAACAGTTCTACATTTAAATCACCTTTTCAATACCAGTTATCATATTTAGTAGGAAAAGTCTAAAATTTTTATTATCTGATTTTCTAATTCTCTTAACCATTATAATGCCCTGACTGGCACTGGCATTGCTAGCACTCTCTCAGATGCCTTGGCTCTGCCCAGTTCATGTGTGGGAAATCAAAATATCTCTGTGTGACTTCATTAGGACCTGTCAGTTCTGGTGGGAATCCATGCTCCCAAATCACCTTTCCCAACTCTGATCTTTTGTTCTCTACAGGGGGGTTCATTGGATAATGAATGTAATACATACTAATACATATATTACCCACTGGCTTATAAATTCTAATACATATATTATCAACTGGCTTATAAATTCTTTTTAGCTAGGTCTGCATGCAAAATCCTCTTTCTATGAGATTACTGTAAAGAACAGAATAGAGACTTTGGCAGCACAGATTGACATACTGTGCAGCTTAAGATCTGCATATTTAATACAAAAATAATACCAGGACTAGAAAACCAGTGTCACAATGTTCTTTAAACCTTCAGTGTCAAAAGAAGTTGATTCTGTTTTCTAAGAAATATTTCATTTTCTTAATTCATGAATATTCTAATTCATTATTTACTGCAATCAGTCAAATATTTCTGGAAGTACTGGAAAAAGTACATTATTTCACACACACACGCACACACACACACATGCGCGTGCACACACACACACACGCACACACACGCACACAGACTTTGAACCCAGGGCTTGTGCATGCTAGGCAGGCAGCTCTCCCACTTGAGTCACATTCATAACTCTGAAGTATATTTGCATTCTCTTTCAGGTGATCAGTAGTTTTGGCTATCAATAATTAGCAGTCTCACTAGTAATAATAGCTATTATATATTGGGCACTTAATACACCCAGGGCACTGGGTTATGGTTCTTATAAGTACTAAACTGCAATTTTAAAAATTGTATGTAAGTTTAAATGTATTTAACACTTAAATCTGCCTAAGTTCCATAAAGCTAGACGCCAGTGCCTGCCACCACTATTGATCACATTCAATGCTTTTAGTTGCTCCATATTTAAAATAACATAGTATATATTTCAGCTTTAACTTTTATTATGAAAGGCGAACAAGACTTAGATCTTGGATTTAATTATCTTCTTTTTCTCCTCTTGATTGTACCTTTAAATTACAAAATTTTTAAATGAAAAACCAATGTCAAACATTACCATTAGATAATACTGAAAGTAGCTTGGCCATGATAAGCAAATTTCTTTTTACTCTGGTTTTTTTTTTTTTTTGTTTTCCTTGTAGTTAATAATTACCTCGTTGCTTTCCACCTTATGTTTCTGTAACCCCAATACTTCACAGTGGATCTTCAACATGTAGACTAACGGAGCATTCAAACATCCTTTGACTCTTGTTTTAGATCATTATTCACCTCATTAAACGGTTTTGTTGTTTTTTTTTTTTTAATTTTTTGTGTGTCGTGAGGCTTGAACTCTGGGCCTGGGCACTTTCCCTCAGCTCTTCAGCTCAAGACTAACATTCTACCACCTGAGCCACAGCACCACTTCTGGTTTTCTGGTGGTTTACTGGAGATAAGAGTCTCACCAACTTTCCTGCCCAGGCTGGCTTTGAACTGCAATCCTCAGACCTCAGCCTCCTGAGTAGCTAGGATTACAGGCATGAGCCACTGGTACCCCGCAATGGTTATTCTTACATGACGAAACACATTCTCTGAAAGTTCCCATATTAGTTCTGGAGTGTAGTTCTAATTGCTGCTTTAAATCCTTATCTACCAAATCAACATCTGTGTCACCCTGGAGTCAGCGTGTTTTGACTGTTTTTCTTGTGTAGGGGCATGTTTTCCGGCTCATACATTTAAGTCATCTGTAATTTTATCTGAGATAGCAGGGCTGATACACAGGCCCCTGGATTGCTATGATCCTTTAAAGAATAATTGTTCTTTTTGTACTTAAATAAAATGAATTCAAACTGAAATATGTATTTACCTTCTCTGTGGTAGGCTGCAGCTGAAAGGAGCTCTGACAGAGCTGACAAGAGAGCTGACAGATAGTCGAACAAGGGAGGGTCCCTTGGGACTAAATTAACACCTATATTCCTGCAAAGGTATTTATGCTCCCCTTACCCATCATACTCAATTGATGATCTGGATGAAAATAGAATTCAAGGTTAAATATCATTTTCTACTAGAAGTTTGTGTGCATGTATATGTGCATGTGTATGTGCGTGTGTGAGCTCCAGTCCTAAGGCTTGAACTCGACCTGGCCTCTGTTTTAAGTGTTTCTGCTCAAAACTAGTACTCTACTAGAGTTGCAGCTCCACATCCAGCTTTTTGTTGTTTATTTGGAGATAAAAAGTTTCATGGACTTTCCTGCTTGGGCTGGCTTTGAACTTCAATCCACAGATCTCAGCCTCCTGAATAGCCAGGATTATAGGCAAGAGCCACCAATGTTTAGCTTATTTTCTCCTAGGATTTTAAAAACATTGCTCTACTGTCTTCTAGTATAAAACGTTGGTATTGAGTAGCCTTTGTAGTTTGATCCCAAAGCCTTTGTATGACTTTTTCCTCCTTGGAAGAATGTCTATTATTGCTCTCATATCTCAAATTCTAAAATTTCATCATGCAGTGGCTTGATAAAGGTCTTTCTCATATATTCTGTTGGGGACTCATAGGGATACTATAGGCTATGCATTCCTACTTTTTACATCTGGAAATTTTGGGGGATTACTCTGAAAATTTCCTTCCTTCTGCTTTCTAGGTTCTTCCTGTATGGACTTGGCCCTGGAATCTCTGAACCTACAGACCATTTTTTAATTAAACTCTCCAAAGCATAATTCTATCCTGCCAGTACTGTGAGAGCAGCTGATTACCCTATGGTTGCGATAGGATATTAGGATAAAAATCATGCCTTTAACTTTCAACACATCTTTCTGTCTTTTAGTCTTTCCAAAATTACGAGAGCACTGTTTTTCCATTTTTCAAGTTGTTACTTCCTTTGCTATTTCTATCTACTTTAAGCTACCAGATTTATTCTAACATCTCTCACCTGCTATTTAATACTCTTCTTTTTTTTCTTTGTCTTTGCAAGTTTGTTTCTTAAGTTTACTTTGCTATGATTCACTGGGGTCTGGAGAGAATTTTAACATAAGACATGCTGTATTAGAGGTTGTAACACTGTAACATTAGTAACACTGAATGAA